GGGCCTTAATATAAGGATCCCTATTGTAATCCCTATTAAGGGGAGGGAGTGTATTAATCAGGGTCTACATTAGGGGTTTAGGGCTTTAGGGTTTAGGGTCTACCCTAAGGCTCTCTTTTGAGCCGGGCCTTCATTGAAGTCAGCTTTCCTTCCCCGAAGGACCCCAGGGCCCAGAATACCCCGGACCTTCATGACGAAAGCCCTTGATGGCCCAGCAAAGCCCTCCAACTTATTCTAGGGAGATTTTGGGAATGCTTACAGGCTTTCCAGCTCATCATGGGTTATCGCAGAAGCAAGCATCATGATGCGTGGTGTCTATGATTAGAACCCTTGGCCTTTGGATCTTCAGCTTGCAGAAATCACCATCACTCCCCTGGAAAGTTGAGGCAAAACCCGGATCTAAGCACCTGAGGGTGCAAGTTTGAAAAGACCTTCTTGAATAAATCCTGCCCCCGAAATGCCCCGAAGCAAAGGAAAGTTCGGATTACTTGAGTGTCATTTTTCTGGCACGCTCTAGAGTCTGCGTCGAAAGCTCGTGAGACGCAACCGCAGGATGCAAAGGTATCGCTCGATTGAGCGCTTGGAAAGAGTGCTCCGATGGCAGGTCCTCGCAATCCTTCCAATGATACCGACCCAGTGCTCTGCAGCCAGCAGATTGTACACCCCGGGGTTCACGCGGCTTTCCAAAGCTTCGTCCAGAGCGTGCTGCAAATAGTGGTGCTTTGGCAGAATACAAAATGAGCTGCGCAACAAAGACTTCCCAGCAGTTTGCGAGCTCAGAGATCTCAAGCGCGCGTATGCCAGCAAGTGCAAAGTACCCAGATGGTGAAGCTCGGCTGCTTCTGCATCGGAAAGCACCATGCCGCACAAGTCAAACATCTTGAGCATCTTGCAATACGACCAAACACACACTGCCACGTCCTCGTCAAGACGCGTTGCATTACTCCTTGCAGCCCGTGCGACAGCCAGATCGCACAACCAAAAAGTTATTCTCTTGCCATTAATCGCTTTACTGGCAAGAGCTGGAAACATTCCACGATGTTTGCGGTTGAGGCGTGAACAAGTGAACCTAGCTTGTGTTGCCTGCAGCTGATTGACGCGCAGCCACCGTTTGAAGTTGATGAAGGCCAACCGCAATAGCGTTGTCATGCTCAGTTCATATATTCCAGTTCTCGGGAAGGGTGCAAAATGCCCCGCTTCAACAAGATAGGTGAGGATGCTGCCGTTAAGGACCTTGCTCGTCCCCAACAGTTGACTGTGTGTAACGTCGTGTAAGAACCGAACTAAAGCTACGCCGCCATGCACCATTGGGATCGGGAGATCTTCGATAGCCTTCGTCGCCATATAGTCAAGAGTGGACACGCGCCCGCCACATTTATGAAGCGAAGTCTCTCGAAAGTCGGTGAAGGTGTAGCGCACATCTTCGTGCTTCTTGCAAGCCGAACACAACGAACAAAACTCGTCAGCATTTCGTTGGTAGTGGTGAAGGTCATATTTCTCCTGCAGATGGGGCTGATCATGGTTTACATGGGCCGCATGGTTGTTCATTAGTTGGGGTTACAGCTTGTGGGCTATATAGGTACCATATAAGATAGCATTTATAGAGCTTTCATATGGGGGCACTCACTTCTAGACTACGCGAACTAATTTGGAAAGGGCTGTTGCTGGGAGTTGTACATACTTTTAAAACAAGAAGGCTACACCTTACTGGGTTTGCGGGTGCTTCATTTTTCTATTTATAAAGGGACAAAAGGTTGGAGCCCCGAAGTAATCAGAGGGCCTTGTTAAAACAAACATCTATTCCATAGATAACCAAGCTGCTGAAATCCATTTCAGGTCCCCACGGCAGCTTGCAAAGTAGAAGCGAAAACCAGAGGCATGCCAAGGGTGGTTGATGCGTGGGTCGCTCAAGTGCTTAAACTTGTCCATGACATGCCGAAGTAAGTCTGCATGAGTAAATTCACATGCTGTGTATTCAGCATAGACGCAGAGAAGGAGGTTCTGTACCATAGCTGGATTTTTATATCCAAAGTCGGACCCCCAAGTGATTGCAGACACTGCCCCACCATCGGTATTCCGGAAGGCGTCCACATCGTCGCCATATAGATAAAGTGGAATCAAGCCTTCATATTGATCCTCAGTAAACACACTGTCCTTAAACCAGGAAGCATTCTGTTTCGCATTGCACCAGAACTTACGAGCACCTTCAGACCCAGCGTTGCCGAGAAAGATGGCCTTGAAGAGCTCTGGTCCTTCGGCCCAGATTGCGTGAGCCACTGAAATCGGGCAAAGAACTGGTACCTTGGCTTCATAAATCTCTTGCGTAGCGGGATTGTAAAGTCGGATAGGGACGTCATCCACCTTCACATCAATGCTCTTGCAGAATCGTTTGATGGTCCTCTGTAAGTCCCTTTCGCAATTCTGAGCATGTTTTCCAGAAGAACCTATTTTGGCGATCTTGGAAATGAGGTTGTTCAGAGGCAGATTGACCCCTCTCGCATTGCACCACTGAACAGCTTTTTGGGCAAGCTGTTGAACCTTCACAATGCGCAACGTATCTAGCTGTTGCATAGGTTTATGGGCCAGGTAAGAAAGTTACCATTATCCAAAGCAAGTGGGGGAGGTCCTCACCCAACATGTAGGCATTATAAAAAAAACAAGAAAGAAGCCGGAGAGCATTTGATGCGCTACTGCCACCGCTTGCATAGTTCTGGATCATGAGCTCGGCAAAACCATCTGGATCCTCGACTTGTGGAGACGCTTTCAATAACTTGAAGCTACTTTCCTTGCGAATCCAAACCTTGAAAGAAATAATAGCTTTGCCCAAGAATCATTCTGTGTTTCGGCAATGCGGCCAACCTCTTCGCCTTCCTGTAGGGTAGCATCCGTAGAGACAGCGCGTTTGTAGCGATTGTGGAATAGTAATCAGTACAAACTCTATAGTAAGGAAACCCGTCTTTGCATGAAATACGACATGAGTCCAGATCAGCTCCGGATTGTTGGACATCACGCCGCGGATCTTGAACTTGTGATCCAGAAGCCCTCGCCTAACAAAAGTAAGAGTCGTTCCATCTAGATTGACGCAGAAAATTGTCAGTTCTATCTGTGGATGAAAGAAATCTTGATCCGCTAGACATTTACTTATATGTATAATATAATATAGTTACAGTGCATGCAATTGCACTATCTCTGGGGCTTTGTGGTACCTGTGTTAGCGGTGCAAGATTTCTTCATCCACATTGCCACGAAAAAACGGCTACACAAAACTCATTCCAAACACATACATTCCCCACTGATCCTTGACCTTAATGTGAGAAAGGCCCTGAGTAGTAACCCTATAAGCCTAGCTTGATTAATGTATAAAGCTATTCATCCAAAGCACTTGGCCCCTGCCCTTTGCAAGATCAAGCATTCACCCGAATATTTCTCTACCGACCTTTGACATAAAGGCCTTGTAAGAATCCCGCATGACTAAAACGATGAACCCAAACCACTTGGCCCTTGCTCCTAGCACGCTCGCTAGTTAAAGCTTTACAAGCCCATGACCCAGATGCGTCCTGACGAGGTTTCTTCTTTGGGTTCTGCGTCGCATCGTCCGAACTCAGACGCTTGGCAGCATATGCTCTCGCGAGCTGTAGTCCTGCGAAGGAAAATTTAGGTGTGCACTGAAGAACTCTCATTGTCAGCTGTAGAGGCGTGCTGAAGCAGTATCATTTTTTCGCGCCATGTCAGAGTCACATCTCCCCACAGAAGCACGCTCGCAGGGTCTGCTGGGCCCGCGGGCATGATCACCCTAATCCAGCATAGGGCAGGAGCATGTACTATAGCCTCGAAAAGTTAGACTTTTAGACCGTTCATAGGTCTGCAAGATGAAGATGCCCCTGTCCCATGACAGTTACCCTATACCCACATCAACCAGGATGCGCGATCAATCATCTTCCTCATGAGCATCGACCTCGGCCGCCTCACTGTCCTCCATGGAAGCTGCAGCAAGAAACCGCGTAATAAAGAATTAACAATTTTTGCTGGCTGCTGGAGCTTTATACCACCCCGGAGTTATGTACGGATGTAGGGTTTCGGGCTTATGGGGGCTATAGGGTTTACAGGGCTCATATAAATCTAGTTGCTGATCGAGCTGGCCAAAGAAATGTTGACCTTACAGAGCCCAAAAGATCTAACCAGCGGTTCCGCGTGTACGAGTGTTAGGATTCTGCAGGGTTTTGGGATATAAATTGTAGGGTTCACATACAGGGTTCTGAGGGGCTATAGTCTGGGTATAGTGGGCTTCATTATTGGGGCAGGTAATAGGACACATGGGTGTAAGGTTTCGTGGGGGAAGGGGCATATTGAGCTAAAGGGCATAGGTAACAAGTAAAAAGCTCAGGCTTTGTGGAACTGTGTGGCCAGAAAATGCGCAAACCCTGCGTGAAGCCCAACACTTCAAAGAGTATCCCCGAACCCTGGATGAACCGCCCAAAACCCTATTGTATGCTATAAGCCCTTACAAATCCTGCCTAAGGTTTCTTGGGTCCTTCTTGGCCTTCTTCGATTTCGGGGTGACGCGGTTGGCCTCGGCTTTGTCTTCGTTGAAGAGCTGCAGGCGCTGGCTTGCAAGCTCCACGGCCGCAAAGCACTGCTCGGGGGACGTCTCCTGACAGAATAGATTTCGATCAAGGAAGGGGGTTGCGCAGGAAGCTTGTGTCCTTGTTCTTGGTGATCTTCTGTAGGTTTGCGAAGCTCAAATTGAGCTCATCACTGTGGCCATCCATTTGCATGCCTTGGATTGCTTGATGGGGAATAGCGTACATATGGGGCTGTATCTTGTTATAGAAGTTGAGGTATATTAGGGTTATATATAAAGGTTATTGGGTTTGTAGGGTTTATATGGGGCTCTATATACATATATATATATAATAGGGTACTGCCCCCACCCAGTAACAGTCTATATTAGGGGTCCTATTAAGGGCTATATATAGCCATATAATGAGTATTTTCCAACTGTTATTGTGTGGGGGCAGTACCCTATATATACATATAT